ATCAAAATAGAAATAGCAATAAGAGACCTCCCAACCAAGAAAACCCAAGGACCAGATGGATTACAACTGAATTCTACAAGGCCTTCAAAGCAGAACTCACACCCATACTCTTCCAACTCTTCAATGAAACTGAAAGTGAAAGTTCATTACCAAACACTTTTTTTTTGTAGGTCACCAGTCTTGAACTCTGGGCTTGGGCGCTGCCCCTCAGCTCTTCAGCGCAAGGCAAGGCGAGCACTCTACTGCTTGAGCTACAATGCCACTTCCTGTTTTTCTGAGTGGTTTACTAGAGATAATAGTTTTTTCCTTCCTGGGCTGGCTTTGAACCGCAGTCCTCAGATCTCAGCCTCCTGAGTAGCTAGGATTACAGGTGTAAGCCACTGGCGCCCAGCTACCAAATGCTTTCTATGAAACCATCATAACCCTCATCTTCAAACCAGGCAGGGACTCAACAAAGAAAAAGAACTATATATCCATTTCTTAGATGAACATCGATGCAAAACTTAACAAAATTTTGGCCAATCGACTTTGTAAAATTGTTAAAACACATGTAGAAAATTAAAGCTAGATCCTTATATATCACCCTGCACAAGAATCAACTCCAAATGGATCTAAGATCTCAAAGTCAAAGCAGACACACTGAAAAATATTACAGGAAGGAATAGGAGAAACTCCAGGGCTCCTTGGCACAGGCAGAAGTTTTCTTAATAAAGACCCAGACACTCAACAAATCAAAGAAAGGTTGGACAAATGGGATTGCATGACACTGCAGAGCTTCTGCAGGGCAAAGAACATACATAGGTACCAAGATCAAAAGGAGGCCCACAAATAGGGAGAAGTTCTTCATTACCCATACAATACACAAGGGTGTCACATCTAAAATATACTTAGAACTTAAATAATTAAATCCCCCAACAACAAATCCTCAAAGAAACAACTGCCAGATTTATAAGTGGGGTAAAAACTTAAAGAGAGAATGGCCAATAGAAACATGAAGAAATGCTTAACTTCTCTAGACATAAAAGAAATAGGTATCAAAACAACATTGAGAGTCCATCTCACCCCAGTTAGAATGGCTATAATCAAGAAATCTAGTAACAACAGTTGCTGGAGGGGATGTGGCCAAAACAGAACCATACTTATTTGTTGGTGGGAATGTAAACTCTGGAAAGCAGTATGGATGCTCCTCTAAAGACTATACATAGAGCTCCCCTATGACCCAGCAATCCCACTTTTGGGCATTTACCCAAAATATCACAAAGAAGGCCATAGTAAAGCTACCAGCACAACTATGTTTATTGCAGCATTATTTACGATAGCTAAGATATAGAACCAACCCAGATGCCCCTCAGTAGATGAATGGATCAAGAAAATGTGATATATATGTATGTATGTATATATATATATATATATATATATATATATATATATATATATATGTGAATTCTATGCCTCCATCAGAAAGAATGGCATTGCCCCATGTGTGAGGACATAGAAAGACTTGGAAAAAATTACATTAAGTGAAGTAAGCCAGGCCCAAAGAAACAGGTCCCATCGTTTCCCTTATCTGCAATAACTAGTATATGTCTGAGACAAGCAGAAAAGGTCAGATAAGTTGATGTTAGGTGAAATGAACCCCAAGATACGTATTCAAATGGTTTTTCTTTCTTGCAATTGTTTCTAACATATTTATAAGATGATTTTTTTGTTGCTTTGTATGTCCCTCCCCCATGGCATAACCCCTGATTTCACTGTATTTGATGTTGGTATAATTTGTGGAGGGGAAGGGCAAAAACAAATCGTTTAAATAGGGATACAGGTGGACCCATTGCAACAATGAGATGTACAAGTCGTTATGTCCAAAAACGAACTTTACAACTTTGGGTGGGGGTGGGGGGGGAGATAGGAAGGGATGGGAAGGGGAAACAAAGGAGGAGGCAACAATGCCTGATAAGAAATGTACTCATTACCTTGCCCATGTAATTGTAACCTCTCTGTATGGTATTTTCACAGTTAAAAAAAAAAAGAAGAAATGCACTCATTACCTTGTCCATGTAATTGTAACCCCTCTGAACGGTATTTAAAAAAAAAAAACTCATGGATACTGCCCAGTCTCTGAGTTTAAACCCCAGGACCAGCGCATGTACACACACACACACACACACACACACACACACACACACACAAAGACATTCTCTAAACAGAAGGAAAACTATTCTAAAACTCATGGATACTGCCCAGTCTGAGTTTAAACCCCAGGACCAGCGCGTGTACACACACACACACACACACTAAGACATTCTCTAAACAGAAGGAAAACTATTCTAGGACTTCCAGGAGCAAGGACAATAGATTCCCAGTAAAGCACAAATTATAGCATCATCTAGTGGGGTATTCCATGTCTACAGAGAAACTACTCAAGAAATTTATTCATTCATCTATTTATTATTTTTATTTTTTTCTGTCATGGGGCTTGAACTGTGGGCCTGGGCACTGTATCTCAGCTCTTCAGCTCAAGGCTAGCACTCTACCACTTGAGCCACAGCGCCACTTCCGGTTTTCTGGTGGTTCTTTGGAGATAGTCTTGTGGCCTTTCCTGCCCAGGCTGGCTTTGAACCGTGATCCTCAGATCTCAGCCTCCTGAGTAGCTAGGATTACAGGCGTGAGTCACTGGCAATTTATATTTCCCAAAAGGTAGGCATCTTGGAACAAACCATAATCCCAGTACTCAGGAGGATTGCCAGTTTCAGCCCAGCTAGGCTACCTATTGACACTATTTTAAAAGCAAGTAACCAACAAAAGAATAGCCTGTATTTTAAAACAGAAAGGGCTAAACATGTAGCTCAGGGGTGGAACTTATCATGAACATGCAGGAGGCCCTGGGGTCCATTCACATAGCACGGGAAGAAAATCAAGGTGAAATGATCTAAGTGGATGTGAAGTTTCCACATCTTACAGTGGTACATAGAGTGCTAGACAAAGACTGTCATCTCAAGCTCTGAGGGAAACTGCCATCAGGAGGCTTACAGTTTCTCAAAAGTCACTGGATGCAATGATTTTTGCCTGTTATCCTAAGTATGTGAGAAGTGGAGACTCAGGAGATGCATAATTTTAGATTAGTCATAGTTGCTGATAGAGATTACTGCATTTAGAAAGGGAGAAATGTGGATAAGTGCCGAAATTTCAAGGCAGAAGACACACCATCAGATGTTCTTTGGGCCTGACTATGTGGCTCAGTACATCCATCAAGCAGCACATAGGTGATGTAATATACACACTTGCACCCATACAATGTCCTTACTTATCAGTTAGCATGATATATGATTCTAGAATCTATCTTTTATTTATAAAGCCATTTAAGTATTTTAAAAATCCATCAGCTAGGACTGTTCTTTCCTTTATTGTATTTTGACTATGTTGTTTATTGTTTTTTCAAAAGTAGAGCTGTCAGTCATTTCTGTGTGTGGTACTAGAGTTTGCTAGGCAAGTTTTCTATCATTTGAGCCACACCTCTAGCCCTATCACTTTTTTTGGTTGGTCCTAGGGCTTGAATTCAGGGCCTGGGTGCTGTCTCTGAGCTTTTGTGATCAAGGCTCATACTCTACTTCAGCCACAGCTCAATTTCTGACTTTTTGATAGTTAAATGGAGGCAAGACTCTCATGGACTTTCCTGCCGAGGCTAGCTTTGAACCACAATCCTCAGATCTCAGCCTCCTGAATAGCTAGGATAACAGATACGAGCTACCGTTGCCTGGCATCCATCAATCATTCTTATTGTGTATCTTTCAGACTAGTAGCATGTTTAGAAAGGCCTTTGAAAATTTTTAGCCTGTAAATACAGACTAATTTAATTCTGATACTATGTAGTGCAAGGTAGCCTCAAACTAGTAACCCTCTTCCTCAGCTTCTCATAAATATTGGAATTCTAGGTGTGCGCAACCATGGCAAGCTAAAGTATTTTATAATATGACCATGTCATTAGATCCTCAAAAGGCTTTACCTATTATTCATTACACAAAGGTTTAAAAGGGTACCATAAACCAGCAGTTGTCAAGCAGGGATGGCTTTGTGCCTCAGGGGCCAATAGGCCATGGCTGGAGATGGACATAACTGGGGATGTGGTTGTGACATTAGCAGAGGATACATGATATTGGTACACATCTTACAGAGCACAGCCTCTCTTCAGTCCCCCAACACAAGGAATTATCCAGCCCCAAATGTGTGAGGAAGCCCCAAACAGTGTAGAGACTGAAAAATATCGGCAATCATCTGTTCTCTTCCATGGCTTTTCAGATCCCCTTTGTTTCACAGTCTGCAATTTTCACACTACAAAAGTTTAAAGAAGATGAGAAAAAATAAAAAGGGAATAATTAGATATGCAATTTTTCTCTTCTTTTCATGCTAGGGATTGAACCCACATGCCATGTGCTCTACACAGGGTTATAACCTGAGCCAAAGAAATTTCAGCAAGCTGAGAATACTGGGATATTCCATTTGTAGTATCCTTCATTTCATTTTAGTTAGGCTTCAAAAGCTAAAATCCATGTAATAGAATATACCACAAAACAAAACAAAGCAAAATGGGAGGAGTCGGGCACCAGTGGCTCATGTTGTAATCCTAGCTACTCAGGAGGCTGAGATCTGAGGATCAAGGTTCAAATCCAGACTGGGCAGTAAAGTCTGCGAGACTCTTATCTCCAGTTAACCACCAGAAAACTGAAGTGGTACTGTGGCTCAAGTGGTAGAGTGCTAACCTTGAGCTGAGGGATAATGCAGAGTTCAAGCCCCACGTCTGACAAAAACAAAACAAAACAAAAACAGAAGGAAAATACCTCCACAAAACATTGACACACTATTAGGGTCAGAGGCATGAAGAAAAGACTAGACTAATTATGAGTATAGGGCCCACCTAGCCCTCTGGCTGACAGGACTGAGGCCACTTTGGCCTATATTATGAGATTCTGTTTCAGCATCCCCTATCCCCAAAGGAAAGAGACTAATTATTATGTAAATGCTTTTATTTGAAGTACTATATCACTACCAGATTACATCACTTTTCTGGAGTTAAGAGTAACATAATGATGTTGAAAACTAGAGCAAACAGCTTGACAAAGCAAGAGTACATTAAGTCTTACATATTTTTACTTTTTAGTGACCACATCTCCTTGTTATAAGTGTAAAACTAAAACATATATTGTACACTTAGCGTACTTACCCTACAGAATCCCATCTAAGTTCTAGGCTCACTCTCTTCTCAAGCATGTCATATTCAATAGCATTTTAAATTTAAAGAGAGGGTTTGATGATACAGGTTTCAAAATTAATAAGTATTTGTTGAACAGACTCAAGACAAAATATTGTTTAGAGCTTGGATATAAGCAAATTTCGGGTACATTTTTCCTCTACCTATAACAATATATTTTTTTACTTATTCACTTGAAGACCCCCTTAAAAAAGTAGCAAAATCAGCAGACTTGTTGAATGTAATCAAAATATTCTTAAATGTACAAAAAAGGATCATGTAGAAAGAATATTGTAAAAAGATACTGATTTTAAGAATAAAAGAATAAGAAAAGCTTCTATTACATTCTGTGCAGCCAGTTACTTGGGCAAATTTTCAGTACTACCAAGTAAGCAAGGACTACTTCCATCTATATACCTCTGCCCATAGTTTTTGAATAAGAGTTAGCAGACAAGATGGAAAGCAAATGACTGGCTAACAATATTCCTATGCAACCATCTAAGCAAATCTCAAGAGATGGGCATTTTAAGAGGGGAGAGACATAGGGAGAAATACACGCAGCAATGAGAGATGTCAAGGGCAGCATTCCAGGAAGAGAAGAAAGTATTCTGATTATGCACACACTTTAAGTATGCCTGACAGATTCAACTTTGACTGTGGGGGAAAAAAGCTGTTTTTCTGAAAAATCCCCTCAGGGTTCTCATGGTGAACTACTCTTGTAAATTGAAACTAAAAGTCCTTTAGATGACCAAGAATTCCTTAAGCCGTGAGTACTTCACCTGGAAATAGCTGACTTACTAATAATCATGCACCTGGGAACATGGTTGGTTTTATTGAGAGGTGTTGTTTTACACTCTCTTCATCCCCCTACCCATCAAACATGCAAACACAGTCATGACCATCTTGGGCTTAACTTCAACAAGGTCTTCAGGAAGAGCATACACTCTGGCTCCAATTCTTCTAGCCATGGACACTGCGTACCTATTTTTCGAAAATAAAATCAAGATGAAAGAATTTCTTGTCTGTCAAGGACACTATGAGACATCTATTTTCTATTTTCTAATCATTTGGCTGAGATGCAAAAACTCCCTATCAAAAGTACAAATCTGGATTTTATTTTGTGTTTGTATGTGTTCTGTTTTATTGCTTGTACTAATAATATTTATTCACTTATCTGTTCCATCAGGAGCTGAAAATTGAGTATAAATCACTGACATCAGGTGGAAATGAAATTCTACATGTAATTACTTAGATTGGTTGTATTATCCATAGACATTCTTATTACACAGGCAATCAGGTAAGATACCCTCCTTATGGGAACTGAGAGATATGGAGCATAAAATTATGCCACATGCAAAATCCAACTTGCTTTGGTAAGATACAGTGAGTGCTTCTAAATATTTAAGTGAGAGAAGAGAATCTACATGGGATAATGGTTGAACTAAGGAATAGAAAGGGAAGGCAAAGAATAGGACAAAAGGACGATATATGCAGCTAGGGAAATTGGCAGGAACACATCTCACTTAATCATAAGCACTTTCCAGGTGTATTCCAACTGTAATCTTTATAGATATCAAATTTTTATCCTGTCATATGTATACATTTTCAAATAATGAAAATCATTATTGCAGGACGGCACATTAGCTATCTATCTTTTAAAAAGGTACTGCTGTAAGCAGATTTTTCAGATTGCACTGGTACATTTTTCACTGGGTCACTATAGAACTAGGTCATGAGTGAAGAAGGGAAAAGACAAGTAGGAAAAATTTCCTAAGCAGTGTTGCAATACAGGCTTCCCTTGTTTTAATTTTGTTCTTGATTTGCTTTAAAGTATACACTACATTATTCTTATAATTCTCTAAGCAACCTTAAAGGTCAGGTACAAATATAAGCTTTTCTCTCTTTTGAGACAAGAGTTTCAGAACCAAGGCCGTGTTGGCATCAAAACTGTGATCCTCCTGCCTCAGTCTCCCAAGTTCTGAGATTACAGGTACACAATACTATGACTAGCAATGATAAGATTTTATAAACTTTTTGTGCCAGTTCTAAGGCCTGAACTCAGTGCCTGGGTGCTGTCCCTTAGCTCTTCCACTCAAGGATGATGCTGTATCACTTGAGCCACATCTTCACTTCTGGCTTTTTGCTGGCTAACTGGAGATAAGGGCTTACAGACTTTCCTGCTTGGGCTGGCTTTGAACCTCAATCCTCAGATCTCAACATGCTGATTAGCTAGGATTACAGGCTTGAGCTACTGGCACCTGGCCTTATACATTTTTATGGTTTAATCTCTACAAAAATTTCTTTTTTTTTTTGGGTCCGGTCATGGGGCCTGAACTCTGAGCCTGGGCGCTGTCCCTAAGCTCTTCAGCTCAAGGCTAGCACTCTACCACTTGAGCCACAGTGCCACTTCCGGCTTTTTTCTTATGTGGTGCTGAGGAATCAAACCCAGGGCCTCGAGCATGCAAGGCAAGTGCTCTACCACTGAGCCACCTTCCCAGCCCCTCTACAAAAATTTCTAAAGTAATTAGCACAGGCCTCATTTGAGTGATGGAGAACCTCAGACTCAAAGCTACTTCCCCATGAGTATGGCGAAAGCGCCATGATGATCTGCCTATGCCTGTAAGTGATGTGAATCACAACTTTCTTCAGGTTCACTCATTCTGTAGCAAGTAACACTAGTGGCTGAAATGTACTGTCATACGTGGACTTGTCAAAGGACACTTACATGTGGACTCTCATAGGGAAGAGTAGAATGGTGCTTAGCAGAAGTTTGGGAAACTGTGAAGGAGGACATTGGGAGATGGCAGATGAAGGACATGTTATTGTTATATAGAGAGAAAATGAGTCCCCCAAAGGCAAATAAATAGAAGGTAGGTAAGTGGTCATTTTGGGCTTGGTGGGGGCAATGACTACTAATTGCTATGGAGCTTCTTAATTTGGCTGATCCTTGGGCTTGAACTCAGGGCCTGGGTACTATCTCTGAGCTTTTTTTTTTTTTGCTACCACTTGAGCTATAGCTCCAATTCTGACTTTTTTGGTAACTTATTGGTGATAAGAGTCTCACAGACATTCCTGTCTCAGCTGGTTTCAAACTATGGTCCTCAGATCTCAGCTTCCTGAGTAGCTAGGATTACAGACCATGAGCTACCCATACCTGCTTGGAATTTCTTTCTTGGCTGATGACAATGTTCTAAAATTGATTGTGGTGAAGGCTGTACAACTCAGTGAGCACATTAAACTACTGGAATGTATGTAGACTTTAAAATGCATGAATTGGACAATATGTGAATTATATCTCAATAAACCTATTAAAATACTCAAAACCTTACAGAATTTTCCCCAGGTCTGGGGGATGTGGTGTAACCAGAATTAACAATCATATCTGCCTGGCTGCAAAGCCTGTGTTCTCTCCACACGATTCTATACTTTCCCTTACTTGGCATTACTCTGTTTGTCATCCTCTGTTAGATTGCCACTCTTCACAAGGTCATAGTTTATGCAGCCCGGCTGGATGGCATCAATTAGATCCACAACTGCCAAACTAGAGCTGATCGTCTTATCCTAGTAAGAAAGGAAAACAAAGCTAAGAATTTCAAGATGTACAAGTTCACATGTGTGATTTTATATAAAATGCTGAAGACACAACCTAGCAAATTAGAAGAAAAACATAGCAGGAGCCCAAGAATAATTAGCATTCACAAAACCAAAGGGAGTCCTTCCAAATTATAGGTATTATTTTAGCAAACAGAATAATAGTAATATGTGAATATAGATGTAATAGTCAATATAGATTCTTACCTTAAAATTCTGAATGGAAGTTGATTTTCCAGCTTCTCTCAATGTTCTGTTCACCCAGTTCACAATAATATCATCATTAGCTTTCTGACCATCTCCAAGATCCTCCAGGACATTTAGTGTATATCTAAGAGAAACAGAAGAAGAAAAAATGCAAGCATTTGAAAGATATCTTCTGTTTAGAAAACTAGGGTTTAAACTCAGGGAATGGTACTGTCACTAAAGTTATAATGCTCAAGGCTAGTGTTCTACCACTTTGAGCCACAGCTCTATTTCTAGTTTTCTGGTGACTAATTAGAGATAAGAATCTCATGGAATTTCCTGCCTAGGCTGGCTCTGAATTGTGATCGTCAGATCTCAGCCTTCCTAGTTGTTAGGATTACAGGTGTGACCACCAGCACCTGACTAGAAAGATATAGCATCTTTCTTGAAAGAGTACAGATTTCAAGGAAAGACACTCATGCAATGTGAAAAAATATTTGAAGGAGGAGTGGCTTGCCACTCATCTATCTTTTGTAGTATAGGGGCATGAATCACAGTGCTTAAATGTGCAGACACATGCTATGCTATTCTAACAGTGGTAAGGATTTCAAATGAGTTGTGCTCTGGCTTGCTTCTAGTCCTAATGGATATTTTTAGCATTAGTGTTACCAGATCATTTTCAAATGGATACATGGACATGTTCATATTTTTTTGTTTTGTTTTTTGTTTTGTTTGGGTCCGGTCGTGGGGCCTGAACTCTGGGCCTGGGCACTGTCCCTCAGCTCTTCAGCTCAAGGCTAGTGCTCTACCACTTGAGCCACAGCCCCACTTCCAGCTTTTTTCTTTTTGCTTATGTGGTGCTGAGGAATCGAACCCAGGGCCTTGAGCATGCAAGGCAAGCACTCTACCACTGAGCCACCTTCCCAGCCCCGGACATGTTCATATTTTATCCTCACAAGTTTTGTTTTATGAGAGACAGTCCTTGCTGTGTAGCCCAGGCTAACTTCAAACTTGTGATCTTCCTGCTTCTGCCACTAGTGTGGTGGTATTACAGATGTGTACCACCATACCTGGTTTTATTTTTGGGGATGAGAATAGAATTTAGGGCCTCATAATGCTAAATATGTACTGTACTGCTGAGCTACATCCCCAGCCCCTCTAAGAATATTATGCACAAATATTAAATGATGCTGAAGTCCATGTGTCAGGTTTTCTAGGTAAAGAAGGAACTGTCACAGCTCAGATACAACTTACTCAAGACTGAAACTCATGTCACAATCTAAAGTAAGTACAAAAGTGTACTCATGTACATGCTTACTTATGTAAAAAGTAGCATTACAGTGGTAAAGGTAGTATTACGCTGCATCCTAGTAGAGCTTAAAGTGCTAAGAAGTGTACACTACCTCCTCATCAGCTGCCACACTAAAGCTAAGGTCAAAGTTTGGTTCCCATCATTCAGGTCTTGGCCTCCAATGCCAACGAGTGAGAATTTAGCAGGATGCTTCCCCAATTCAATGGCATAGTTGCAGTTCTCCAGCTGCAGACACACAAAAGGAAATGAATGGTTAAAGACTTCCGCTCATTTAATCTGCATCTTTATTTGTGTGGATTGTATACTGCTAAGTTTTTTTGCATGTAACACAATAAAAATCATGTTATCGAAAAAAATTCTGACTGTCCTCTATAGTTAGCAGTAAATGCTTTATGAGGAAGTCAATGATTATAAAAAGTGTTGTTTTTCTGGCTTTTTAACGAAAAAAATTCATGAACTACTTTTATGAAGAACATTTTTTAATCTCCAGAAAAATCTTTTATTCCATATTTCCTAGACCTTTGGCCGAACCTAAAACTCTATTAGCTTTTCTAGAACATTTCGCTGAGCACTACAACTTGTGTAGAAATGGGTTCTCCCAGAGGTGCCCATTATCTTCAGTGACACCTAGGTACAGTGTCATATAACTCACAAGCTGGCCCCAGTGAACCACAGCTCAATGGTGGCAGAAGAACCTGACTGATGACCACCAGTATCTTGCTATCAATTGAACAGAGTAAGGATGGCCCTACTTCAGTCCAGAACCTCAATAGTTCATCATTCACTCGAATAGCCATTGTCATTCCAATCTATAGTACCTTATAGAACACTATTTTATGTTAGTAGAGTACAGTGATTTCTCCTGGGAGAAGGAAAAAGGAAGAAAATAACATTGGCATATTAGAATCATGAATTCTATAAGTTACCTGTCCAACAACAATGAAATAAAGAGTTTTAGATGAAAAAAAAAACAAGACATAGTTCCTGTCTTGGAGAAGCTCAGACTTCAGAGCTTAAGAAAATGAAAGAAGAAATAAGACACGTGGTAACTTCATTACACACCTTTTTCATGTTGGCTCCAAGTTTCGGGTATGGAGGCTTATTCACCTTATTCCAGTCCACGGGCACTTTAATTCGTTCATATAGCTGTAAGATTACCAGGGCATCTTGCAAGTCACTAATGATTTTAAGAAAAGTAATCAATGTTTACAGATAGCTAGACTTTAATTCCCTTAATTAAAGAAACTAGTGTCAAATAGTAACATTAACATTGTTAAAAACATAACCAAAGCCACAATATAAGACTCCTGTTTTCATTGGTCTGTGCTGAAAACAGAGTTAAGGCCACTAAATTCAGTGCCTTTTTGCAAGCAAGGTGCTGTTTTAAAGGCTGGGAATACAGGAAAAAAATCTCTTCTTACATTCAGTTGGAGGGCTGACCAATAAACAAGTACATGAGTAAGAGATGATATGATTTGAGTATACTGAAGTGCTATGAAAAAACAAACAAACAGTACTAGGGTCAGTGTTTAGAGAATCTAGGTCAGTGCTAGGCAGTAATCTGGAAAACAAAGAAAATTGCTAAGGATATGAACCACTAAATGTAGGCAAAGACACTGCATTGTATGGAATAAAATAAGGATGCAAAACATTATATTTGGGAAAGCAAACTTCCAGGTGGAAAAAATAGTATATGGAATATAGGACAGATGTGAGCTAGTCCACTGGGCCAAGAATAGGCTAGGCTGAGAGAACAGTGAGCCAAAGGACCCAAGGCATCACTGATGGTCTGCTGGACTCTTAAAGTACCTGTGCCCTAGAGTACCATAAAAATACTTGTACATCCTCCTACTTATAGTCAGTGACCAGGAAAATGAAGAATTTGGGTTTTTATATGTTAGGAAAATGATGATAGAAACCATCATTTGACATTTTCAAATATAAAAAAAGCTACAAATAAAAATCTTGAAAACCATTAGTGTTGCCCTTATATATGTAGCCACATTCCTGATGCTTCTGTTTACAACGAAGTAGACGGCTTACGCATAGAGATGATTCACGTGGGGATTAACGCCAAGTGAGTTCATCCAGTTACGGAAGGTTCTTTCTTCACGAGTTTCTCCTATTAACAATATTCAATCATTCATTAAATGTCTTATATATGTACACATAGTATCAAACCATGTATTAGTTTATTTGATCTGTTCTATTCATATGTATAGGTTTTCTCCAATATGAACTTCCCAAGCATTCTAACTATATTCTGTCTACATTTCTACTTAAAAAAATTCTTTTTGGGGAGGCTGGGAAGGTGGCTCAGTGGTAGAGTGCTTGCCTTGCATTCATGAGGCCCTGGGTTCGATTCCTCAGCACCACATATGCAGAAAAAGCTGGAAGTAGCACTGTGGCTTAAGTGGTAGAGAACTAGCATTGAGCTGAAGAGCTGAGGGACAGCATCCAGGACCATAGCTCAGGCCACACAAATGACAAAAAACAAAAATAAAAATAAAAAAATCTTTTTTTTAGGGGGCTTGGATGTGGCTTAGTGGTAGAGTGCTTACCTAGCATACATGAAGCCCTGGGTTTGATTCCTCAGTACCACAGAAAACATTTTTTAAAATAGTTAAAAAATTATTTCAAAATTAAACAATACAGATATACTGCAAACAGTTAAGCAAGTTAGGTTTATGAACCTTTCCTTCCATTCCCTTTCTACTTTATGTGTGTATGTGCATGGGGACACACATACACACATGTGTATTCTGAGGCTTGAACCGAAGGCCTTAAGATCTTCTTGCTCTGTTTTGTTTTCTTACAGGCATCATTCTATATTTCAGCTTTGCCTCCAGGTTACAGGTTTTTCTTGGTAAATTGGAGAAAAGGTTCTTGTGTATTTGCTGCCCTCAGATCAGCCTGCTAAGTACCTCTTAGAATTACAGGGTAAACCACTGGTACCTGACTTTTTTGTGTGTGCAGTGCATGGGTTCAAACCCACGGCCTCAAAATGAGCTATGTCACTAGAGATTTATAAACTTTCTAAAATTCCATTCTCTGTTAATATTTTTCCATTATCTCCTCAAATCTGCATACTTCAAAGTAACTGCTGTTATTAATTGTGTTTTTCTAAAACTTTGCTATGCTTCTATGAACCCATATATACTGGCTAATGTGTTTTTCCTTTACCCATTAATAAATACCAAACTACATATAACTATTACTTCTATAAGCCAATGCTAAAACAATGTTACCTGAAAGCTTAGTGGCTGGATGCAGCTCAGAGGAGAATACTTACTAACACTCTACCATTTGAGCCATATTCACAGACCCATATTTTTAAAATCAATTCTCTCTGTGGTAGCACATACAGGAATTCAGAGCCTTGAGCATGTGAGACAGGTCTCTACCACTGAGCTCAACTTCAATCCAGTCTACTTTATTTTCAAAGTTTGCTTGCATTTCTTTTTGTTGATTGTGGGGCTTGAACTCAGGGCCTAGGCACTGTCCCTGAGCCTTCTTGTGCTCAAGGCTGGCACTCTATCACTCAAGTTACAGAGCCATTTCCAGTTTTTGAGTGGTTTATTGGAGATAAAAGTCTCATGGAGACTTTTCTGCCTGGGCTGGCTTGAAACCACAATACTCAGATCTCAGGCTCCTGGGTAGCTAGGATTATAGCCATGAGCTACCCATGCCCAGCTTGCTTGCATTATTATCTCTATACAGAAGCCTCTGGTTTCCACTCACCAGTGTCTACTTTTTAATTTATCTATTTTATTCACTTGTCAAAGCCAAGTGGATAAAGTAACTTACTAAATTAAGATTATGATATTGCCATGCCCTTTATAGTTCTACTCTACAGCCTACACATTAGAATTAGCAAAACTTCCTGTTACCTTCTAGTAGAGTCCAGTCAATATCCTGATTCTCTGGCTTAGTCAGTGCTGGGTACTTATTAAACAAGTTTGCCACAAAGGCCAGGTTCAGTTTGGGGTTTCCACTAACAACATCAGCAGGGGTAACAAACTGTCTGCAACCTAATTTATCTGCTTGTTGAAGCATACTCTCTGCTCTCTTCAAATCATCTGTTTCCTGTTGAAGTAAAATAAAATGACATCTTTTAAAGTCCATACAGAAAATATAAATTTCCTCTATAATTATAGGCAGGTAGGATAATTCTACTTTCTTTTAGTCAACACATGGTATTTATTGTGAAACTTTTGAATGAAAAAAAAGGAAAGTGGCTCAGCAGGATATGCAGTATCTTTAAAGACCACAGATGGCGCCAGATCATGCATGAAAGGATTCACTAAATTAAACTCAATTAGGATTACATCTCTCATGCCCCACAAAAGGCTAAATTAGATTTTTTAAAGACAGAAATTGACAAATAAATTTAAAACTGTTCATGTTTTCAAATTAGATTCTAAGGTATATAGGTATATCTAGTTTTATATATATATATATATATATATATATATATATATATATATATATAGGTATATAGGTATATATAGAAGGTATATAGTTGAAAATGGTGACACTGGAAAAAGGTACTTTTTTCTTTTTTTTTTTTTGCCAGTCCTAGGGCTTGTGAACTCAGGGCCTGGTTGCTGTTCCTGAGCTTCTTTTGCTCAAGGCTAGCACTTTACCACTTGAGCCACAGCACCACTTCCAGCTTTTTCTATGTATGTGGTACTGAGGAACTGTACCCAGGGCTTCATGCATGCTAGGCAAGCACTCTATCATTGAGCCATATTCCCAGCCTCTTGTTTTTGTTTTGTTTTTATAAAATTACTGGAGAAGACTGAGGCACCTGGGTGGTACTAGGAAAAGAGAAAAGTTTAAGGGAAATAACACAAGCTAGGAGAAATAGAGTAAGATTGTGTACAACCTTAAACATCAGAGTATTTTGGACTCAAGTCTAGGGTTGGTAAGAAAATCTTAGAAGGATTCTGAGAAGGAAGCACCAAAGAACAGAGTGTATGAGGAAGGCTGAGAAGTGACTGAAGGATTGTATTAGAATCAGAACCCATTTACCTAGGTAAGCATTCACCTGCCCAGCCATCCGAGACAGCTCGCTTTGTGCAAATTTGGAACCCTTATATCTACCAAGAGGTACATGAGCCTAAGTATTTTGCCTTTACCATACAGACAGGAATATAAGCACACAGTCAGTTAAAAAATTCAGTTTTGGTTTAGTAAATGAAACTAATTGCATAATATAATACATACATGGACTTTTGTTAAACATTATTAAATATATTTGGTATCTAATGAGTATAGGGAAATCCAGAATTCTAAAACTGGGATAATTAATTTAGTCCAACTTTTTAAATGGATGGGCAAAGTAAAATTTAATTTTAGGAAGGAACTTTGTCCAAAATCACTGAACAATACAGGGAAATAATCAGGAAACATGGTCCCTAACAGTGATTCCTCAAATTGGATTATAGATCAGGATTTTGTAAATATATTTACTTGACTCTTAATACACAAACATTGCCAATTTAGATATGAAAAATATAACCATTAAGCCTATTACTGAGGATAATCGAAATACTTGGAAAAGGCTATTTGCCAGTCCTTATTTCCCCTTACTTGCTTTGAATGCTTTTTATCATCATCTGTATAAATCATTAGCACCATGATTATTGGAACTTACTATTTATCAAAGTAAATAAGGCTAGTCCCCCCAGTTACATATACAAAAATACTGTAAAACATAATGCTTAAAATTGTTAACACCACTACATGCAGTTATAACAATTCTTCTATTTCTAAGAAACAGACAATAATTTTGGTAAGATTGTAGAACAAGAGTACCTATACTTACATTGAATCCTGACATGTTAATATCTATCCGTGGTTCACCTTCCTTTTGTCCTTTTGGTGCAATTTGATTGAGAAGGTGGAAATAGGCTTTGGAATCCTACAAACGAATTGAAAATGCCAATGAGATATCATTTACACAGAATGAATATGTCTTAATGTGCTGTGCTAAGAAAGATATTTACATCAGATTCCATAAAACTATAGTGCACAAATCTGTCTTCAAATTTAACAGAATTTAAGCCCCACCCCAAAAGTGTATCTAGCAAACTCTATGTTGTCTAACTTGAATATGGATTAACTGGATTGACTGTACAATTTATTGAAGTCATCAATAATGCTAATAAATATTTCTTCTGTACCTTCACTGAATTACTGAAGTCTATAAGCTTGATAGAGAAAAAAGCATGAAAAATGTAGTAGACCAGAAATCCAGGAAGCATAGGGAAAGAGAAAATAAACAGGTTATATTATTAGAATACATTATATATACACATATATCATAACCTATGGAGAAGACTTCTGTTATGTTAAAAATATATAAACTACACATTTAAATGTCAGCAAGTCTTCAGCGAGAAGCAGTTGGTAGAATAACACTTAACTCTTTAGAGTTCACATTTTAGGATTGGAATATACTTAAATCTCTCACTCTTTCTTTTCCTCCTCACCCCCCTCTTCCTCTCCTCATTCATTCCCTTTCTTGTTCTCTGCAGGACCTCATGCATGTCAGAGAAGTTCAAGCATTCTACTGCTGGGCTATATCCCCAGCCTCAAGCTTATCTTTTGATTTAAGTTGCTGGACATTCTCATCTCTGGAATACAATAAAAATAAAGCAGAATTACTCATATTGGGAATGGGAGGAGTGAATTAGTCTGTGAACTCTTCATGGCATACCTCTTGGAAAGCATTGTAAAAGGTGCAAGTATGCTAAATGTGTCCACACCCATCAAATAAAACTCTGCCTCTCTCGAACACTAGATGACAAAAAACTGAATCAAGACTCTTCAATCCTGTCCCATCAGAAGGCCACCTATCCATCAATGGCAGTTTTCTATTACTAAGCTTCCAATGTTCAGCAAGGGTATCAGAAGTGTTTCAGATAGTAAGTTTTATAGAACAAGTGCATCCTAATCTCAGGTAAATTTATGACAGACATGCCAAATATGAAACCACCAGGAGCTGCCCACAAACTGCATCTTAAGCCACCTATGCAAGGGAGTTTGCATTTCAGTGCTACAAATGGCTCAAAAAAGGGGAGAGGGGAAATCAGTGAGTAAAAGCCACTTCAGAGCAATTCAGGAGAAGTTAACCCAATTCCTATCACTCAGGGGCATAGGATTTCCCATGTTCTAAGCAACAGTGCATTGAAGCTAGGAAAGTGATTTCCCTTCCACTTACTGGCTAAACACACATTCTTTGTTTTTCAAAAGAAAAAATATTTTCTTTAAAAAAATTCCTTTCATACATTGGAAATACACCCCAGTACATGAAACCTACTTCTAAATGAGTTTTTGGTTGAACATCAAATATGATGCAAAATATACCCAGCTGGACATGTTGTATAAGTTGAAAGTAGAGGTGGGGTCAATTGGGTCTTAGACTTTAGAAGGAATCCTTAATTTCAATGAAAAAAATTCAGCACAGCAAATATCCCACAGCTTCCTCCCACCACGAAACATATTGTTAGTATCCCAGGAAATTGTGCCCATAGCCCTGTTGGTCAATGACAGCTGGTGAAGACCCTCTATTTTGTTCCTACAAATCAACACTGGCAGTTTCAAGAGAGTGTAGAAAATGAAACAATGAAGTTGTCTGGTGGTATGATGGGGAAATGGGTTTATAGACATGCCCTTCCCCTGCCAAAAGCATCTTTTGTAAATGAATGCAGGATTTGCAAACACAACACATCCTTCTATACTTTTTTTTTGTCAGTAATGGGGCTTGAACTTTGGGCTTGGGTGCTGTCCCTCAACTCTTCAGCTTGAGGCAAGCACTTTACCACTTGAGCCACAGTGCCATTTCTGATTTCTTGGTGGTTAATTGGAGTTAAGAGTCTCACAGACTTTCCTGCTCAGGCTAGCTTTGAACCATGATCCTCAGATCTAAGCCTCCTGAGTAGCTAGGATTATAGGTGTGAGCCACTGGCACCCAGATTCCTTCTATACTCTTTAAGTTATTTGAAGATGACATATAATGCCAATTATAATGGAAATGCTAACCGAATAGTTGTGATACTATATTATGTTGGGTCTAACAACAAGATAATGAAGTCTGCGCATATCCAATAATACACAAATTTCCTCCTATATATTCAATGTACAGATGTGGAATGCAAAGATGGGGGAGGCAACTATATTTGTTACAATTATTTTGGTCCCTCTCCATGTAAGGAGCCAAAGGCATCATGTGGTAAATGAATGTTACCAGTGCCTTCCTACCTCGCTTGTTTTTTCCCCCCTGACTGTCTATGAGTGTGAAAGCTCAATCTAATTCCAGAAGTATTTGGGAAACTTTTCTGTACCAGGCCTTGTTTTAGAGATCAGGTTCAGTAGGAAGGTAACTGGGACAGGGGCTCAGGTAGGATTCAGAGAAATAACAAACACTCATGACTTCCTAACATCTAAAGATAAGAGAATACAACAGGTACAAAGATAAGCAAGAAGCCAGGTGGCCTGTAATCCTAGCTACTCAGGAGGCTGAGATCTGAGTAGTTTGAAGCCAGCCCAGGAAGGAAAAGTCCAAGAGACTCTTACCTCAATTTAACTAGGAAAAAGCTGAAATGGTAGAGTGCTAGATTTGAGCACAAAAGCTCTGGGACAGAGCCCAGGCCCCAGGTTCAAGCTGTAGAACCAGCACATACATACAAAAACAGTAACCAAGAAAACTGACGGTGACAATAATTTTGATGTTTTCACTCTTCTAGGTTTTTTCTCATTCTTTTTCCTTTTCTCATTTTGTGTTTCCCAATACTGAGACTCAAAAGCCTGGTACTTTGCTCAGGTTTTTTCATTTATGGTTGGTGCAAAAGCACTTGAGCCATGTCTTTGGTTCTGGCTTTTTGAGATAATCCTACGGATTTGTCCATCCAGGTTGGCCCTAAACTGCCATTCATAGATCTCAGCTTCTTGAGCACCAAAGACTATAGGCATGAGTCATCAGCACCTGCCTTTTCTAGGTGGCTTTTCTAACAGGCTCATTTGCATGAGAAAGGCAGGAGTAGAAGGATCATGTTACAACTTGTAAACTCCATATTTAATAATAGGCAGAATACAAAACATTATACTATAATGCATTGAGTTTTCCATGAAATGAATACGTGGTGTTCACATGCTTATTTGGGCTACTTTTGCTCTAAAATCTATGTGGATGCCTTGGAGTGGAGGGGGTAAATACTTGCCTGGCATGCCAGAGCCTATAAGAGTGCAGATTAATAAACAAAAGGGACTTAAAAAAATAAAATCTACCATCAGGCCAACAGGCAACATGGTTTGTTGATAGTGATATAGCATTAGGACTGCCTCTGTTATAAAGGATGCAATTCTCCAGATCATTATATTGCCCCGAGCATCCTGACTCTTTGCAGTTACCTTGATGTCAGCACTGAAATTGTTGATCTTTTGCCAGCCCGAGTTTTCCAAATGAAAGTTTGCCCACCTAAGCAGAAGCTCTTCTGGAGACAATTTCATAAGCTCCTCCAAAGTCTCACCATCTCTAAGTAAAGCAGCCAACGCTGAAGAAAATAAAAACTTCAATCAATGTATGATATGACAAAGGGTCACGCCAAGTTTACTCAACCTTTTTGTTTTTCTTGGAAGACAAGGTTTCACTTCGTTACCCAAGCTAGCCTTGAACTTATGATCCTCCTGTCCCAGCTTCCTAAGGGCTGGGATTATGAGTGTGCATTATCATGCCCAGCTTTGCCCAGTCTTTTTGAGACGATCTTAATAGAGATGTAAGAACTAGTATAGCATAGTTCTGGCTTCATGAGTATAATCTAATAAAAATAAATATGTGAGTAGATAATTATTTTACAGAGTGATACATAGACATTGTATTGTGAGAATGCACAGAAAACATATAATAGAAAAAGTAATATTACTTATTATTCTCCACATTTGAAATACCAAATTAGATTTAACATTTATTGACTTTAACATTTTCTACATAATTATGTATTTGCATTAACTGTTCTAATTTAGTAGTTAGTAGGGATTATAGAAGATGTTTAAACTGGGGAAATTTTTGATTAAGGCATTCTACAGGTGTTGGGGGAGTAGCTCAGTGGTAGTGTGCTTAACTAGCATGTGTGTATAAAGGCCCTGAGATCCATCCCCAGAATGAAAGGCCTCAAATCCAAGAAGTTGGGTAGCTCTTATGAAATAACTGCCTCCCATAAAATGAAAGACTAATGTTGAACAAGAAAGTTAGTACTATTTGATTTCTAAAGTTCTAATTATACCTCTATCAGGCAAAGATCATCTTTGATAGATTCGTGTCATTATGGTGCTCAGGGATTTAAGCAAGATGAGAAGTAGCGTGTTGATATGTACAGAGCCCTCCTTCTGGTTACCCTCCTCCCCACCATCAAAGGCTGGAAAGAATCAAATAACCCAACATCTACATATCTAATTTATTTCATGAGCCAATATAATTTTGTTTTCTTTCCACACTTTCCATCAATTAAGCAAGGGTAACATTGATATGATGTCAGCAACTGGAGCAATTTTTGTTTTGTTTTGGTCAGTCATGGGGCTTGAGCTTGGAGCCTGGGTGCTGGCCTTGAGCAAAAGAGCTCTTTTGCTCAAGGCCAGCACCCAACCACTTTGAGTTATGGCACCACTTCTGATTTTTGGTGATTAATTGGAGATAAGAGTCTTAAGAAGGACTCTCTTGCTCAGGCTGGCTTTGAACCACAATCCTCAGATCTCAGCTTCCTGAGTAGCTAGGATTATAGGCATGAGCCACTAGCACCTGGGTAACTGGTGCAATTTTAGTCATTCAAAAGTAGGATCTTAGTGCCAGGCCCAGTGGCACATGTCTGTGAAGTTCCTGCTACTTGGGAGGCTAAGGACGAGGATCACTTGAGCCCAGAAGTTTGATTACAAAATAAAAGAAAAAAAGTAAATAAAAGTAAACATTTAAAAATTCAGAAATAAAATAAAAGCAGTACTAAAAATAATAACAAGAAAAAAGGACAAACTATTAGAGAAGCTCCTTCTTTCTAGATCCTTTAATATATTGGAATCCACCAAGTCTGGCAGAGTAGTGGGTCACTGCTGGAATCTTGTAGTACTTCTCTGTTCCCACCTTATTGGTTAGTGCTGGTATGTGAGTCCAAGAGTTAAAGATCAAACTGGGTAACAGTCAGATCCTCCCACAACAAAACAGAAACCAAGCAAAACCTTTAGGGCTAGGGGTGTATATAACTCAGTGGTAGAGCACTTGCCAAGTATGCACAAGGCTCTGGATTCTATCCCCTGCACCACACAAGATAAGTAGGACTTTCTGAGTAGATTGAAAATGTGCAAAAGCCAGTCCTATGACATGTAAATGTCCAACATAGGATTTGGCAGACATTATGAGACCTTGAAAAATATGGAGAATCCCAAATATATACTCTTCCATCAAAGTAATTAAGAACTATTATGATGGGAGTGATGCTGGAAATTCTGAAATAAAATATGAATATCTGGAGCAATAATCAACATTTAAAATTTTAGAGAACTGCCTACTACCTGACAGCCATTGGATTGTATATAAGCATGCACTCTGTAAATAATGAGATCTAGAAGTCTATGCTGTTAAAAGGATGGAGGATTTTTTTTTCTGGCTCAGGAAATATAGGAACGCTAAGATAGATGGCAAGACTGTGAAAGCAGTCTAAATCTATGATAGAATATAAAAGGCATTATAAATACCATGGAGCTCAGGGGCGTCATGCAGTAGAGGCTGTGTGGACCCTACAGAAAAGGCTGTTACCTTTGGGGACTTGGGAACATTATTTTTGTACCTTTGTTGTAGATAAAATTTAAAGTGCCAGACAAATGTAAATTACTACAAAAGAAGAGTTATAATTAGGCTGTTTCCCTGAATAACTAAATAGCATTATCTTATGTTAATTCTAGTTATCATCTAATCACCTCAATTTAAGTGAAAGTATAATAGTTTGTATGAATAGAAAAAGATACCCCCAATAAACCACTTTCCCAATAATGACTATGTTCCATTACCTTCATTCCGGCTTAACTCAATGTCTGCAAACAAACCGATCTTAATAATCTGCCAAAGCAGACCCAACACCAGATGAGGTTTCCCAGCCCGTAAATCCTCTGCACCAATGTTCACAACGTGACACCCAATGGCAGATGCAGAGTTCAGAGCCAAATTCAAGTTTTCCTGCAAGACAGCCAAATTACAATTACACTTGCTTTTTGACCTTTCCATTTTTCCCAGTGAAAATTTTCACTGAAAATATTACTCAGATGTTTTATTTGGCCCCTTCTGAATTATGCTGACACTAAAGGAAAAGCCCAAGTGACTGCAGTAAATATATCCATGTGGATAGTGTCGTATTTCAAAAAAATGTCTTAATGAGAGTCCCAGAAGTATGGCATGCACCCAAGTCAAGTTCTAGAAGCTACCGATCTCTATCTGATGCCTGAGGCTGAGGGGATCTTACCATTTAATAGTCTAATATTCTTCCAATGGAAAAAGAAAGAATGCTCCATTCCTTTAAATAGGCCAACTCATGAAGGGTTTAAATATTGTCCTTGAGCTCATGGCTTGGGCACTGTCCACTCAAGACTGGCGCTCTGCCACCTGAGCCAAACCTCTACGTCTGACTTTTTAGTGGCTAATTGGAAATGAGACTCCCACAGATTTTCCTGCCCAGTCTGGCTTAGGACTGCAATCCTCAGATCTCAGCCTCTTGAGTAGCTAGTATTATAACAGGAATGAGATGGTGGTACCCAGCTGGAAATATTCTACCACAAGAGACCATAGGGCTTTGAAATGAGGCAGAGATTTGCACCACAGTTCTTTATTAACCTTTGGCAAACTTTCAGACTTTTCTGAGTTTCAGCTCTGAGGGTTAAATGAGATACTATGTGGTGAGTACAGAATATGCAGTGTGTAGAACAAGCTTTCCTGGTTTTATACCAGTTCCATGGCAAGAGTGGAGAACAGGGTGTACCTGAATGATGAAGGGTGTAAGTTTCTTCTTGTTGATTGCACGTTCATCAATTGTATCAGGAACTGAAAGGTTGATCATTTTGCTGCAACAAAAATGAAAAAAGTTAATTACTCTTAAAGAGTCTATAAAACATGTCTTTCATGTGATCTAAACAAGAAACCATGTTGATTGATCACAATAAAAACTACATACAAGCCTAGCACTGGTGGTTCACACCTGTAATCCTAGCTACTCAGGAGGCAGAGAGCTGAGGATTGCAGCTCAAAGCCAGCCCAGGCAAGAAAGTCCATGAGATTCTTATCTCCAACTAACTACCAGAAAACCGGAAGTGGCACTATGGCTCAAGCAGTAGAGCCCTTGCCTTGAGCTGAAGAGCTGAGGGACAGTGCCCAGGCTCAGAGTTCAAGCCCCACGACCGACATAAAAAAACAAAAACAAACTAAAAGAAAAAACTATACTCATAAAATGCTTAAAAAAAAAACAACCAAAGAGCTGAAGGTATAGCTTGGTGGCAAAGTGCTTGCATAGCATACAAAAGGCCTTGGGTTTGATCTCCAGCACCAAAACCAACACCAAAAATATGACCAAAATGTTTATAGTAGTTGAGACTCTGAATAGAGTGTGGGAGCATATTTTCTCATGATTACATTTTTTTGAGATACTGGGGTTTGAACTCAGGGTTTCCGAATTATTATACAAGCACTCAGCCACTTGAGCCATATTGCTAGCCCTGTATTGTTTACATTCTGAAAATGAATAATCTGCATATTGAAAAGGATCAGTGAACAATTATGATAACCAGATATACATTGAAACTCTTCTACATGATTTAATTTATATTTAAATTTTACCCTCTATCCAAAAAACAGTAATACATTATTTATTGAGAAGACTTTTTTGATGCTACAGGAAGAAACAGACTCACACATGAGGTCCACCCCATCTTCTATCACTGAGCTATACCCCCATCCAAGCAAGGGATTGTTTCATTCACTCAAGTCTTACTTCTGCTTTTTCATGGTGCTTGAGCTGGAATCCAGCATTGTACTGCTGAGTTACACTCTTAGCCCCCTTCACCACATGCTTTCTGAGTGTCTCAAGAAGCTAGACACTCCATTTGGTACTGGTAATACAGTGGAGAGATAAAGAAAGATTAGTTAGGCTACAGTCTGTCACTTACTAGAAAGAAAATATTTTCTTTTGTTGGTTATGGGGCAGGGCCAGGGTGCTATCTCTGGGCAATTTTTGCTCAAGGATAGTGCTCTAAAGGCACACCTCCAATTCAGGTTTTCTGGTGATTAATTGGAGATAAGAGTCTCACGGACTTTCCTGCCTGGGCTGGCTTCAAACTGCGATCCTTAGATCTCAGCCTCCTAAGTAGCCATGATTACAGGTATGAGCCACAGCATCTGGCTAGAAAAAAACAATCATATTTGGTACTATTTATATATTTTTAAAAATTTATTTGGTGGGGAGAATTGATCCTCAGGGCCCCAAACATCCATGGTTCATGGTATGTTCTACGTACATACATAGTATATGGAAAGATGCATGGTTTTCCCTATTCACCATAAAATTTCTTACAGATGGTACTATAAACAATTAAAATGTTATGAATCTCAGCCTAAATTTTACCACATGGGGGGTGTGGAAGGTAAATATTGCACACTTGGAACTAGTGTTGCGGATTTTAAAATATTTGCATACACATAATGAGGTTATTGTGAGGATGTCAAACAAATTTCATTTGTGTCATATATACCTTGCACACATAACCAAAGGGTGATTTTGATTTGTTTTTTATGGTGCTAGGGATGAAAGCCAGGGACTCAAACATGCCAGGCAAGCTGCATCTCTACCATGGAGCTACCCCTGGCCCAGAAAGTAATATTATACATTATTTTTAGTGCACCTGCATTTTGACAGTGACTTGCCACATAAAGTTAGGTGTGGAGTAGTCCACTTGCAGTGTCATTGAAGTAGGAAGGTCAGGTCTAGCCAGCACCATATTGACCACATGGTGAATGGTAGGGTCTACCATCTCTTCTTCATGCTAGGGGAGGGTGACGCCTCCCAGGTGATGCATATGCCCAGATCCCTATCAGCACTTGGCTGATAGGTTACTGAACCTGTCAGTCCAGTGCCTGGGACCGGGAGTGTTCTGTGACCCTGTCCTGTGCTGGCACACTATTTAGACTCTGACAAGCATAGGCACCCTTACATGTGTCTCCATTTTTGTGTCCTGTGTCCTGTCTCCTGGCTCTCCAGACATCATGGAATCCCAATTCAGCTCTCCATCAGTGCTGAATTAGTTTGTTGGTATTGTTTTTGTTCTTTTCTTTCTCCTTGGCCTGTGTCCTAGCTGTGTTATGTATTAGTGGGCTGCAGGCCTTTATTACAACAGGCTGCCTGCAGACTGCTATGTAATAAAGATCCAAGATTCATTCTCCCAAAATGTGTCTTCTCTGATAATTTACCTTACAAATGTCAGAGCTTAAAATGTTTCAGATTTTGAGCATTTTGGCTTTCAGTTTTTGGATTAGGAATGCTCATGACAGAAAGGAACCTAAACACATGTGGAGTTCACTATCCTAGTCCACAGCTGCATGGCTTCTGAGTGTATAAGCCTGAATTTGAACCTGGGTCTATCAGTCTTGGAGCATGCTCTTAACCACTGTGCTACACTGCCTCTGTAAAGAAAAGAAGCAGCAGAGAGCACTGAGGTTTTCCCATCACTTCTGCCAAGACCCTGCCGGCTATGGGGGAGTCACAGTGACAGGAGCTTTTTAAAAATAGGTCACTGGAGAGAGTGAACTGAAGGTAGCCCTTTTTTTTCCCTTTGGAAGCTATCGCATTTCAGAATAGACACTGACATACTTAAATGAACGAAGTAGTAATGTACTGCTTGCTAGTGATGAGAAGAAATGGGTGCTGAGTTTTTAGTCTCTGACAGTTTTCTTTTCAGAGAAAGACTTAAGAGATGAAACAAAAGGGACTGAAGTGAGGTAATTCTCCTGTGTTTCTTTCCTGAGATGCAGCTGCCAATCATTTAGAAACAAACTGAGCAAGTTTATGGAAGGACATTTTTGGAAATCTGTAGATAAAACAAGTTAGCATCTTACCAAAGCACAATTCCATCACCAACAGCTTTGAACAGGTCATCAGTATTTGGGTTCATAGGTATAACATGTCTGCAATCTGGATCATTTTCCAAGGCCTTGTTTATCCAGTTAACAAAAGCATATTTTTCTTCCTCTAAAATCATGAATGAAAAACAGTTCATACTTTGTATTAATCTTTTGACCCCCCAAACCTAAAATAGTTGTAATAGCAGTATTGAACAAACACGTGGCTATCATCTTTGGACACCAGATACTTGGATATAACCAAAAATGAACAAAAACAGTTCACTTACTGATCCTCAGAGAAGTTACTTATAAAGTCTTTTAAAAATTGTATGCATAAGCCAGGTGCTGGTAGCTCATGCCTGGTATCCTAGTTACTCAGGAGGCTGAGATCTGAGGATTATGGTTTGAAGCCACCATGAGCAGGAAAATCATTGAGACTCTTATAAAGTATTTTAAAAAGCCAGAAGTGGAGCTGTGGCTCAAATGGTAAAGTGCTAATCCTGAGCAAAAAAGCTCATGGACAGTGCCCACACTCTGAGATCAAGTCCAAGTACCGGTACAAAAAAAATTACATTTATAGGACTGCACAACTCTACTGTAATAAAATCTATCATGACATGAACTGTGTCTCTTGTAAGCTAAAAAAAATCATACAATAAAAACCTGTCATATAAAAAACCCTGTCATAACTTTATGGTATTACATCTAAGCTCAAGTGCATCTAACCAAGGACATCAATGGTATTCTTTTTGTTTATTTATTTATTTATTGCGTGCTGTGGGGCCCCGTGCTGTCCCTGAGCTTTTGTGCTCAAGGGACACACTAGCACTTTAACACTTGAGCCATAACTCCACTTATTGCTTCTTGTGGTTAATTGCAGATAAGAGTCTCACTTGCTGACTTTTCTTCCTGAACTGGCAGTACTCAGATCTCAGCTTCCTAAGTAGAGATTACAGGTGGGAGCCATTGGCACCTGGCTGGGATTCTTTTGTTTTGTTTTTGTGCTGGTCCTGAAGCTTCAACTCAGGGCTTTACACTCTAGCTTGGCTTTTTCACTCAAGATGGATACTCCACCACTGAGTAATAGCTCCACTTCTGGCTTCACTGAGTCATATCTCTACTTCTGACTTTTTGCTGGTTAATTAGAGATGAGATTCTCTCACACTTATTCACCTGGGCTAGCTTCAAACTACAGTCTTCAGATCTCAGCCTCCTGAACAGTTAGGATTATAGGCATGCGCCACTGGCACCTGGCTTGGTGGAATTCTTAATCAGAACCCCCTCCCCCCAATGACCTTACAGTAGCTACCCTACTCCAGTCTACATCACCTGGAACCCATTACCTGAATAAGAATGCTGAGTCCCTTCACTGGAGAGCTCTGAAGTCCCCCCCAGAGCACAGATACCCTCCTTCCTGTTGATTGCCTTGCGGAAGGTTTTAGCAATATCACTGCTTTTTACCTCTTGGAAAATCTAGTAAGAAAAGAATTTTGTTGATTGACAACTCAGGCACAACAATAAGCATACTTGTCTTATTTTAGATCTTGATGGCTATTGTTTTCCCCAGGTGATGAGTGTTAAAAGGAAAATTGGGCTTGAGTTTTTGCAATGCTAAACAAATCTATCATGGTACTACTCCAGATGAAGCTTCAAGTCAATTGCACACACTTTTCAAAAACACGAAGTGCTACATGCATTGAATCCCTTGTAAGCTCAAAAGTAGGGTTGTTGAAAAGCACAGGTCAACCTGTTAATTTCCTATTTTTTTTTTTTTTTTGGTCAGTTGTGGGGCTTGAACTCTGGGCTTGGGCACTGCCCCTAAGCTCTTCAGCTCAAGGCTAGCGCTCTACCACTTGAGCCACAATGCCACTTCCTAACCCCAATTCTTAATGTAAAGAATGTTACTTAAAAACACTTAAAATACACTTTTAAAAAGTGCAGCATATGGGGGGGAGGGGGGAGGCTGGGAAGGGATGTGAAGGGTAAACAAATGGAGGAGGCTGCAATGCTTGGTAAGAAATGTACGCATTATCCTGCCCATGTAATTGTAACCCCTCTGTACAGTATCTTCACAAATAAAATAAAAAAATTAAAAAAGTGCAGCATAATGGTAGCTAAAGTAAGAGTCCATTTAATCAAAAGTTGTAAGAGAGTCAGGATTTGAAAAATCTGTTCCTCTCCTTTCCTCTCTCCCTTCCACTCTCCTCCTTTTCTTTGTCTCTGTCTGTCTCATTTGTTTCTGAGGATAGACCCTAGGGCCTTGAAAGTTCAGGTAGGTAACTCCACCACTGAGTTATAACCCCAAACCTAGCTTATCTTCACAATAAGGAAAGTGGCTAACAAGTTAATGTGTATACTCTAATTGTATAAAACAGGTTGAAACAGTGCAAATTTCACATCCTAGCTCACTAAATTGACTGGGTAGGCATTCTAATGGCATCTCTATATACTCCCCAAGCCCCTCTCCCCAAACTTGTCCCTGATCTACCAAGGTACAGCACTGCCTCCAGTTGCATAGAAGCAATGTACATAAACTTCAAAGAACTTCCTTTAAATGCTGTTTAGAACCCTCATTTAAGTGACCCTATCAAAAGAAACACAACTGTAATGGAAAGTTTGCTAAAGAAATGTAAATTAACTCAAAGGTCTTTCATGCTGTCAATGAATATATATATTCTCATCTCAGCATGATTGTAGCCTATGCCTAGAATAAGATCATAATATATAGCAGTTCATGCTGGGAAAATCCAGCCCATGAAATACTAAAACCTTGCTGAAGACTGCCAAGTTTCAAGAAGGAGAGAACAATTTTGTAACTAGTCCATCAGAACAAGTGACATTTTGTAATCTGTACCAAGGTTGCTGCCTGCATCATCTCATACCCTTACCTTTCTTGTCCCCTTACCTTTCCTGAAACCTGACTTGCCTGAGTCTAGAAACAACTGATTCAAGTTTTCCCACTTTCTATATCTGCAAGTCTGTGGTATGCCAGTAATTTTACAGAAAGTGTTTTTGGTGTCTATATCTACAATACAGAAGATGTACAGACACATTAACTTTTCTAGATATTGTGTGCAAATGATAAACCCACTTTCTTCTCCATAGCACTGACTCTCATCTGAATTGGACACTCCAGGTAATTTTTCTATTATTCAAGCCAAACTAATTGAATTGAGTCACTCCCTGGAATGTGGCAAAGCCTGAATTAGAATGTGTTTTGATCCATAGCTTCCCTTTTTGATAACAAGGCACCTGGCTCAGTAAGGAGACAAGTACTTCATTCCAATTCTGTGTCATTTAGTTAAACATTGTGGAGTAAGTTAAAATCTGACAGGTTGGGGCTGGGAAGGTGGCTCAGTGGTAGAGCGCTTGCCTTGCATGCATGAGGCCCTGGGTTCGATTCCTCAGCACCACATAAGCAAAAGGAAAAAAGCCGGAAGTGGCACTGTGGCTCAAGTGGTAGAGTGCTAGCCTTGAGCTTAAGAGCTGAGGGATAGGGCCCAGGCAGAGTTCAGGCCCCACAACTGGACCCCCCCCAAAAAAAATCTGACAGGTGGTCCTATGCTTCCATAAGAAAGAATGACAGTCGTTAGGGAACGGAAAGATTTGGAAAAAATTATATTAAGTGAAGTAAGCCAGGCCCAAAGAAACATAGGTCCCATGGTTTCCGTTATTTGCAATAACTAGTATATGTCTGAGACAAGCAGAAAAGGTCAGATAAGTTAATGTTAGGTGAAATGAACCCCAAGATAAGGACTCAAATGTTTTTTCTTTCTTGCAATTGTTTCTAACATATTTATAAGATAATTTCTATGTTGCCTTGTATGTCCCTCCCCCATGGTATAACTGTATAAATGTATTTGATGTTGGTATAATTTGTGGAGGGGAAAGGAAAAAACAAATAATTTAAATAGGGACACAGGTGGACCCATTGCAACAATGAGATGCACAAGTCGTTATGTCGAAAAACAAACTTTACAACTTTGGGGGGGGATGGGAAGGAATGGGAAGGGGAAACAAAGGAGGAGACAACAATGCTTGATAAGAAATGTACTCATTACCTTGCCCATGTAATTGTAATCCCTCTGTACAGTATTTTCACAATTAAAAAAAACTTCTGAGAAGTGGCATTTCCTCATTCCTGCCATACCACATGACACTACAATGGGCACAACATGGTACTGCCTCACAGTGATGTACCAGGCTGGTTTTCTCTGTATTAGTGCTTTCGTAGTAAGCATTATTGTCGGCTAGAAATTAGGCTGTTTCAATGAGCACAATTTCAGCCCACAGATAAATCCCGATTTGCATGTGCCATAGGAAAATGTGATGATTAAAATGAAAAGAAAAAGGAAGAAAAAAAGAAGTAGTATTGTATTGTAATGAAATGACTTCTATGGTCTAGTACAACTTCTGAAGTTTGGGAATGAAATGCAAGAATCTAATTAAATTTTTTAAAAAGAAGATTGTATGGCTGGAGGAAAAAAGGGTGAACAAATGCAGCAGTGGTCCTCACTGGACACTGTTGAAAATGAAAATATACAACTTGTGGGAAGGGACTGGAGGGAAAAACTGGGAGAGAGTGAGGGAAGTGGTGACATTGTCTTATTACCTGACTTATGTAACTGTAACCCCTCTGTACATCACCCTTACAATAATTTTTAAAAAAACAAAAAAGCTCATAATGCCTTCTTTCCAACTCCCTCGCTTCCTCCCTTTCCTTTCCTTTTATTTCTGTGATGCTAGAGACTGAAACCCAGGATCTTGTACAGTTTAAGTTAATAAGCACATGCTCTACTGCTAAGCTCTACTCCTAGCCTCTACTTTCTAAATACTTTAAAATATAGTATTTCAGCTAAGCCCAAATGATTGTGTACTTTCCTGTTCTTTGGATTATAACTTTTAATGTAAGACAATAAAGAATTCATATATGCAGATTGATTGAGAATTTGCCTTTTCCTTTCCACTTTAGTAAAGCAACTGCTGGAATGGATGATAAAGCCATTGGAGTATCAACTTTAACTTCGTGAGAATATTAGAAGGCAGAGTACAAGGCTGAACACTGTGCTTTAGTCTTCTCAATGAAGCTTTTCAAGGCTGTGCAGGGATCCAGATGAGCTCACTGTTTGGAACCATTGTTCCTCCATGAGGGAGGACTAGTTTCATCATCTGTGAAGAACTCCCTGCCAACACAGCAATGTCCACTCTCCTTCAGTCCCCTTTAGGGAATGTATTTGGTTCTTCCACAAGTGTTATCACCTTTCTCTCAAAGATCCTCAGCAAGAAGCTAACTTCTTCCCATCCCAAAATGACTCTGACATAGGCCTAGTGGCCAAACCCAAACAACCCAGAGGCATATGACTTATGAAGGAAAGATTTCACAAACAATTACAAAAAAATTGACTGGCTTCTACTATATGGGGCTTATTTATTTCCAAAGCAATAGGTTTGAATTTCTCCTTTCTCTGGAAATTCTCATAATGCTGAACTTGTAAAAGAATACTGCTTAAAAAATAGTAGTCAGGTATTATGGTGTGCCTGTAGTCCCAGCCACTACAGAGGCTGAGCCAGGAGAATCCCTTGGGGGTCCAAGAGTTCCCACCAATGCAAGCAACTTGGCAAGACACTGTTTCAAATGAATAAATAAAATGAAGATAGTCTCCTTGACACTAACATCTATGTAGCTTTTACTATATACCTGACATTGTTTTAAGAACTTTGCCGTATTATTTAATCTTATGAAGTTAGAAATATTACAAATATTCCTTAAGAAAATCAACAATTTATTGTCATTATATAAGAACAAGATTCTCATTGTGAAAATGAGAGCTTAGCATGGTGATCCACTGTTCAAGGAATTTATTGCCATATTAGCTTTTCACAAAATCTCATTATTTCATAAATATAAACATCCAAGCCAGGCACAGTTGACTCACACCTAGCTTAAGAGGTTCAAAGTTCAAGGCTAGCCCAAGCAAAAAGCTTGCAAGATCCATCTCAACAGAAAAAGCTTGTCATAATGGCACATGGCTGTCATCTCAGCAACAGTGGGAAGCATAAATAGGAGGCTCATGGTCCAAGCCAGCTGGGAAGAAAGCAAAAAAGGAGCCAAATTAAGAAAAAAAGGTTTGGATGCATGGCTCAATCAGTACAACACCTGTCTAGCAAGCAGGAGCCCAAGTTCATAAAATTCCAGTACCACTATTAAAAAATCAAGTAATTTCATTTTCAAATGCTTAGAACAAAAGCACATATTTACAATAACTTTTGGAATCTTTTCTGCCCTCTGTGTATACTTCCACAAAATTAATACAAATTGATTTTATTTGTAGTTGCCACTTGTTTCCAGGTAGTGTTGGTATAGTCATTTCCTTTCATAGAAATCCACATTGTTTGTTTTCATTTGAAAAATAAGTGTAACCATATTGACTTTTTCTAGGTCTAAAACATTATTTTAACCTAAAATGTTTTCAGTACTTGGTTTTAAAATTTCTCTGTTGTTGTCAAAATTATTATGCGTCTTCTTTATTTTTTGTGCCAGTACTGGGGTTTTTATCCAGGGTCTCATGCCCTCAGTCAGCTTTCTTGCTCACCTGCTGTTGCTTTTACACTTGAGCCACAACTCCTGCCAGGCTTTTTACTGGTTAATTAGAAAAAGAGTCTCCATTGGCGCCTGGCTCCCTTTTCTTTACTTTTGAAGAATATACAAAGGTTATCCCACCTCTTCACTTAAAAAGCCACTGAAAGCTGCATGGAAGTGGTCATCTTTCAAAAATACACGCAATTAAAAATCTTCCTAAGGTCATTGTTCTTGCAGATATTGCCATAATTTTGTCTACCACAAATCTTAATGGTTGAGGCCTGTCCTTTCTAGGTGCAAGTTGTATCACAGTTAACTGCTCTGAGCTGCTTTCAACTCACAACTCAACATGCGGTTACAAGGGGAATGAGTTATGCAACAGAGAACATGCAAGCGCTCAAATTGTGACTTACTATTGAACACAGAATTCAAAGCAAAAGGCTTTGGCCCAAACTGGAGACAAAAAAATGGTTGGAGGAAATCAGTATTTCTAAAGAAAAATGGCAAGAACTATATCATTATAATTATGAGCCAAGTCTGCATTGTAAAAAGTTAACACCCTCCCCTACCCCTGCAATACTGACAGCTGAGTTAGACATCATTATTTTGTCATTATGCTTTCAGACCTGCAGTGTTCTTAAGGAGGTAATTCTAATCAGAGAGAACATGAGAATTTTAGAAAAAAATAAACTATGGAAAGGACAGACAGGAATGCTGGGAAGTTTAAGACAAATATTGGGCACTAGTCACTAAGTTTGTAATTTATCCAAAAGAATGCCTAATCAAATCTAGTCTTAAAATGACCTTAATAATAAAAAGTATCCATAAAATTTTAACAGGAGCTAGGAGTGGTGATTGCCTGTCTATAATCCTAGCACTTAGGAGGCTGAAGCAGGATTTTGAGCAAGGTCAGCTGGGCTGTATAACAAGATCTTGTCTCAGAAAAATCCAAACCAATAAATCTTATGGTATATTCTTAACTGAGAGAAGAACCAAAAGCTCTTTTTAAATATGTCTATTGTGTCAATAAATATAAATTGAAAGTGGCTGGTGTCTTAGAAAAATCTCAACCCTCCAACTGTCAGGAAGTAAAAGTTAGGCTTTAGTCAAGAACCGTGTGCCTACCACACCAAGTGCTCCCAAACAAAACATTGAAATGTCTTTCCCAATGGACTAAAAAGATATGCTTCTAAGTTTTCATTATCAAAATGATCACCCTAGAGAAAATGGTATAGTTAAACACCATTACCACAGGAGAAGAAAATGTCTATTTAATCAGCAAGTTTAGCTCAGGAAGCTCCTAAGACTGAGTTGGGGTATATCATTAAAGTTGTGGGGCATACTACTCACACGAGAGAAAAAGATCATTTCAAGGCTGTCATTTAGCACTTTGAAAGACGCCTATAATGACATCCTGTTAGGAGATGGTCACCTTTCATAGGGAGCTTTCTTTCTTACAGTGTTCTCTTATGAAAGAACTAACTGAACAGAGTGGGCACAATGAAAAGGAAGGTAACTAGTTAGCAGATTGCTAAAGTGACATGTTTTCATGAGTTAACATAATAGTATTTATACTATAAGATCCCACAAGACAAAGGAACAATGGTGAGTTCTATGAATTGTAGATTTTCATATACTTACATAAACGAACTCATCAAAGCTTATCTTTCCATCTTTATTCCTGTCACTATCCAGCATGAGTTTCTGAATAATTTCTCTCACTTTATAGCCTGGCAATGGCATGTTCGCTTCCTTGAAAAGTTCATGAAGTTCATAGTCACAAATATATCCATTGCTGTTGAGATCTTTAGGGGAAAAAAAGGGCAAAAAAGGTTAGGAAACATTAATTCATAGAATTTTCCATTATTTTTGGTTTATTTCATAAGCTCACCTAATTGGAATATTTTCTAATTATTTGGAACCTAAGAGTGTTTGAAAGAAAAATGTACATTTTAATTTAAAGTGCAAGGTTTTTCATGATCTATCCTAGTGCTTTTTTTGTGGGGGGCAGTCCTGGGGCTTGTACTCAGAGCCCTGGAACTGTCACTGAGCTCGTTTTTGCTCAAGGTTGGCGCTCTACCACTTGAGCCACTGCCTTCACTTCTGAATTCAAGGTAAGAGTGTCCCAGACTTTCCTGCCTGGGCTGGCTTCAAACTATGATCCTCTGATCTCAGCCTCCTTAGTAACTAGGATTACCTGTGTGAGCCACTTGCACAAGGCTATCCAGTATTTTAAACAGTGGGTAAGAAGCTTTGCCTAAAAACAGTATCAGCCAGGCACCAGTGGCTCATGCCTATAATCCTAGCTACTTAGGAAGCTGAGATCTGAGGATCATGGTTCAAAGCCACCCCAGGAAGTAAAGTCCCTAAGACTCTTATCTCTAATTAACTACTCAGAAAAAAACTTGAAGTGTTGTGGCTCAAGTGGTAGAGCATTAGCCTTGAGCATGAAGAGACTCAGAGAAAACACTCAGGCCCTGAGTTCAAGCCCCAGAACCAACAAAAAATACTACTGCCGATTTTAAGCAAGCATGGTTGGTTAATAACACTATTATCAAAACACAGAAGTAGCTGGGCGTGGTAGTACATGCCTATAATTACAGCTACTCTGGAGGTATACCTAGGAGGATTATTATCTAAGGCTGCTCAGGGCAAAAACTTTCAGACCATACCACAAAAATAAACTAAAGAAAAAAGGCTTAGGGGCATGACTGAAGTAGTACAATGCCTGCTTATTAAGTATGACACTCAATTCAAACTCCAGCAACACACTAAGACCACTTTTTAAAAAAATCAGCACATTGGTGGTTCATGACTATAATCCCAAAACTCCAGAGGTAGACACAGTAGGACTGAGAGTTTTGAGGCCAGACTGCACTACCTAGAAGATCCTCTCAATGAAACTATACATTGGAAAGCATAAACAGGACTGGGGGTATGGCTCGAGTGGGGAATCACCTGCCTAATAACTTACAACGCCATGGATTGAAACCCCAGGACCACCAAAAGAACAAAATTACATTTTATACCAATGAAACACCAACATGGTATAAAACGACTTCTACTGAAACCATGCCTTCATGTTCCTACTCTCATTAGTATAAAACTTTTCTGAATTAATATGATGCTATTTCAAATCACACCTGAAATGCAGCAGCTACTTTTAGGGCTTACTTTGAGTAAATATAAACAAACACTAATCCAAGATGAATAAAGAGTTCATAGAAATACATGTGGTACTCACTCAAGCAGATATTCAACATGACTCTATAAATATTCTTTTTATTTCTGTGCTACTGCAGTTTTAACAGTATGTATAAAGTGCTGATTAAATGAATGTTAAAAATAGAGAATAAAATCCTGATCCATGGACTGAAAGTTTGTTGGATGGAAAAGAGGGTAAATGTCCAAAGTTATAACCACTTGAGGATGTATTTTTAGTAAGTAAATTTTTACTTTCTCCAGCAACATGAAATATGAAAATTAAGAAAGAAATAATCTGAGCCAGGTGTTGATAGCATATGCCTGTAACCCTAGCTACTCAGGAGGCTGCAGAGGCAGCCCAGGCAAACAAATCCAAGAGCCTCTTACCTGCAACTAAACAGTTAAAAAAAAGACAGATCTGAAGGTATGGATCAAGTGGTAGAATGGCAGTGTGAGTAAAAAAGCCAAGCAAGAGCACAAGGCCCTGAGTTCAAGCCCCAGTACTGGCACACATATACAAAAACTCTACCATATATTGTTCTTGAGGCCAAAAATACTACAGACAACAAAAGAATGTCATTTACAATATAATGTTATATACATAATATACAATACAATGCAATCAATACGGGACATATTTTAAATTTTTCTGGTGGTATTTTATTTAAACTCCTGGCCTCTCACTTGCTAGGTAAGTGCTCTAACATTTGACCCAGGCCCCTAGATAATTTTTCTTTAGTTTTTTTTTTTGGATATGGTGTCAAAACTTTTTCACCCAGGACTAGTCTTGATCATTTCCTGTAAAGCTAGGATTATGGATGTGCGCTACCACATCTAGCTTGTTTACTGAGATGAGAGGGTCTCACTAACTTTTTGCAGGGCTGGTTTCAAATTGTGATCCTCTTTACCTCTGCGATTATCTGCCACCACACACCTGGCTGGAAATTTTTTTATTGCCACAGCTAGGCAAGGAAAAGATGCTCATGGTATCCAATAGGCAGAGACCAGGGATGACGATATTATACTATGCATGTGACCCCCATCCTCAATGTGCAATATAGAATCATGTGGGTCAAAATGTACACAGTGCTCAAGTTGAGTAACCGTTCTAGTGACATTGTATGGTGGGAAGGAAGGCATTTAGACAGAAAGGTGAGGGAAGGCAACTTTGCTGATTTTGAGGGCGGTTGTTTATTGTTTTTTGGGGTGGGGTCCGGTCATGGGGCCTGAACTCTGGGCCTGGGTGCTGTCCCTCAGCTCTTCAGCTCAAGGCTAGAGCTCTACCACTTGAGCCACAGCGCCACTTCCGGCTTTTTGCTTATGTGGTGCTGAGGAATCAAACCCAGGGCCTCACTGAGCCACCTTCCCAGCCCCTGCTGATTTTTGTTGAATCCAGAGTTACATGAGTAAGGTGGCTATGTTGAGGAAAGGAGTTAAAGTAGGGGAAGTTGCAAATGAAGCAAATGTGGTGTGCTCCAGAGCCCACCAACAGTGAGAGACAAGGTCAGGAGCAGAGTATATCCAAGGAGTTTTTTTCTAAGTGCGATCATTCACTAAAATGGGTAAGATCCTATATGAAAGCCACTTCATACTACTTTGAAAGCTGGTAAAGTCCTTCACTTTTTCCAGTTGTGCAGAGGATTGAACCCAATGCCTCCCATGTGCTATGCAAACACTTTATCATGGAATTATATCTATCTCTAATCCAAAGGCTGATGAAGTTGTGTGTAGATAAAATGTCAAGCCTCATTTCTCTATTACTGAGCAAAACAGTCATGGCCCCTAAAGCCCTTCCTAGTATCAGGGTTTGAATTCAGGTCTCAAGTTTGCTCAACTAGCAATCTACTACTGAGCTATGCCTCAAGCTGTTTTGCATACTGATGCTTATTTCTAGAATATATTAGTTTTATGGGGGAGGATTTTATTGAGACATTTCCATGTCCCTGGTTATTTTTGTAATAGGATCTCACTTTTTACCTGGGTCTGCACTCAGGCCACAATCTTATTATTTTATGCTTCTTGCCATAGTTGGAAAGATAGGCAGGCACCACCACACTCAACTCTTTTGGCTGGGACATGGTATCAAGAACTTTATTTTGCCCAAGCTGGTATCAAATTGTGATCCACCTGATCTCAGCCACCTCAATAGGCCACCTCACTTTTTTCTCTGACTTCTGAAATGGCAAGTATCTACGCATTGCTCAAACTTTGGTTTTTATTCAAATTTGACCTGCCATTTAACAGGTAATCAATAGTTGTTCTTTTGACAATAGAAATGGAAGGTAAGATATTTTAAACTTAACTATGGAAAAATATAATGAATTCAAAGCTGCAATAGACCAACCCAAGCTCTGAGAGCTTATCTGGTGGTTTATTTGTATTAGTGGAAATAGAGGTTTGAGTTGCAGGGAGAACTAATGTTTGCCTGAACCCAATGCAAAAACTCTCTTGAGCCTTAATTAGAAAAAAGCTCACTGATGTGATTAAAAGCAGCCAGGAAGTAGCCACCCTAAAATATAACTAACATAAAATAACCACATGTGGAAACTCCATTTCAAAGCAAGGGTGGTAATAACAGATGCTTTTAGTAAGGGACAGGAACATGAGAAAGGAGTTGGGAGGAATAGGAATTTGTTATCATGTGACTATCTTTCTTAAGTTGCACATCTCTTCATACAGGTTATTTTAATTTTTATGTCCCGCCTTAATATATAGCCCAGTACCTAGCGTATACAAGCAACAAGGAAAAATTCTGCATGTACAATACATGGATTCTCAAGTATTAACCAGAGGAAAAACTGCTCTAACCATAAACTAAATGGCAAAATATACACAAATAGCCTTTTAAAAAAAGCCAGAAGGCAATTCCTCAGGAAACCAAAACCTGACAGGAATATTCTTAACTAACTCTCAGTCTCATTCTCTTGGTTCTAATCCTGTCCCCACCCAGCAGCCTGTAGATCTGTAATTTAGTTTTCAAACTGGACACACACCCAGAAGAGAAGGTACAACAAAAGGGGCAGAAGAGGTGGTCAGATCAGGTGTTTCCAAATGCAGACACCTGCCATGGCTTTATTAAGAAACCCCCTGTTAGCTAGGCTCTGGAGGATCATCCTTGTAATCCTAGCTACTCAGGAAGCTAATATCTAAGGATCAAGATTCAAAGAAAGCTTGGGTTGAAAAGGCACGCTATGACTCAAAGTGGTAGAGCCTTAGCCGTGAGCACAAAGAGCTCAGGGACAGCACCTATGTTCTGAGTTCAAGCTCTGGTCCAGCACACGCGCATGCATGAATGCACACACACCACACTCATGTAGCCTGTGTGTGGTGCATGTCTATAGTCCCAGCTACTTAGGAGGCTGAAGCAGGAGGATCATATGATTCCTGGAGTTTGAGGCCAACCTGGGCAACCTAACAAGAACCTTCTCAAAAACAAGGAGTCTACTCTCCAAGACCCACACCATCCCTACTGTTGAGGTGCATGCCAAAGACATTGGAATCTACCAGACAGAGCCCCCTGGCTCTTACATGAAAACCTTGGCTTCCAAATCCTTGTAAAACCTTTGAGTCATTTGGGAGCTCTTTCCTTTCCCTTTCTTCA